AGTAACAGGAGTATACATACCTGGTCCTCACCAGTTACAGGAGTACATATACCTGGTCCTCACCAGTTACAGGAGTATACATACCTGGTCATCACTAGTAACAGGAGTATACATACCTGGTCCTCGCTATGCCTTCAATGACGCGATGTCAGTTACGTTTGCCCATTGGTGCCGATGTTTTATTTCGTCTTCTGTAGCCAAAAAAAAAAAAAAAAAAGTTTTGTTGGTTATACTGTGTGATTTGTTTGACTTAATAAGCTGTCGGTAAGCATATTGTATACAAATAGAAGCCACTCTCGCAAAAACTACCATTGTTCATACTTCATAATACGTTTCTTCTCTTTATTCTTATTTCCTATATGAATAAACAAACAACAAAGAAAGAAAAAACGAAATGTTAACAACAATAATTTGAACCAAAAAAAGATAAAACCTGTGTCAAATTCTGAAACAAATGAGAATATATCGAGACATTGCAAAAGTACTAGTAGAATTAAACTAGGTGTTTCGGAATCGTAAGTTTTTTCTGTTTAATCTGTTGGAATCTCCATCAGCCTTCGACATCTATCCCGGAAATCACGATATTCGGAGCAAGGTTTTGACCCCTTAATCAACTTCGACAAGAACTAACCGTAGTTTTGGACAGGGTTGTTACTATCAAGAAAGGGAAAATGTACAATAGGAAATTCGAAATCGTACAGCTTAGTAATGTAATAGGACGTTGCTGATGATCATATTGACATTTATTATCGAAGAAAACAACCGATTTAAAACAATCTAGTGTCTTTTATTTCTAGCTCATAAGGGTATATACAGACATTCGACGAACAAATTCTCATACTTGTATACATCACATTGTCAATGTAGATATATCTCTTTTTATTTCTATTTGGCCTTTGTCATTTGTTTCCACAATTACATCGTTTGATAAAAAATACTTCACAACCATATATATATATATTTAAAAAAAAATAGCATGAGAACGAATGCGCTACTTGAGTTTGGTACGAGATATGGTCAGTCAAATGTCAATAGAAGGTATAAGTGTTTGTAGACAAAGATTAAAGGTAGAAGGTATTAGTGTCCTTGGTAACCAAACAAGCGTTGGTAGAAGGTATTAGTGTCCTTGGTAACCAAACAAGCCTTGGTAGAAGGTATTAGTGACCTTGGTAGCCAAACAAGCCTCGGTAGAAGGTATTAGTGACCTTGGTAACCAAACAAGCCTTGGTAGAAGGTATTAGTGTCCTTGGTAACCAAATAAGTCTTGGTAGAAGGTATAAGTGTCCTTGGTAACCAAACAAGCCTTGGTAGAAGGTATTAGTGTCCTTGGTAACCAAACAAGCCTTGGTAGAAGGTATTAGTGACCATGGTAACCAAACAAGCCTAGGTAGAAGGTATTAGTGTCCTTGGTAACCAAACAAGCCTTGGTAGAAGATATTAGTGTCCTTGGTAACCAAACAAGCCTTGGTAGAAGGTATTAGTGTTTGTAGACAAAGATTACATCCTTAGATGTTTTGTCTGCTGACACAGCTACGTGTGGTTTGGGCATTGGGGTCAAGAAACAAATAATAATAGAATAACAATTATAAAATAATCCCGCTTAAACTAGGTCAATTGATATTCTATGGTTTAAAACATTAACACCCAACAATCGCTTTTGTGTTATTTTGTGTGTGTTTGTTTATATAAGGTCGTTGTATGACTGTTGTAGGTCAGCTATTAGTCCAGGATGAACGTTTTTTTACACACTCTGACGTGTGTGTAGTTCTATTGTTTATACACTCCGATACGGATGTTGTTTTATTGTGTTATATGTATATTTATTCTATTAATTCGCCAGTTGCCAGGAGAGCTTATTTAGACATCACACAATCCGTACATCTCGGAGTAGTGCTGAATCTGAGAGTCGGTGGCCATAGTTACTTTACTTAAACATCACACAATCCCTACATCCCGGAGTTACCTGAGAGTCGGTCGCCATAGTTACTTTACTTGGACATCACACACTCCCTACATCCCGGAGTAATCTGAGAGTCGGTCGCCATAGTTACTTTACTTGGACATCACACAATCCCTACATCCCGGAGTAATCTGAGAGTCGGTCGCCATAGTTACTTTACTTGGACATCACACAATCCCTACAGCCCGGAGTAATCGGAGAGTCGGTGGCCATAGTTACTTTACTTGGACATCACACAATCCCTACATCCCGGAGTAATCGGAGAGTAGGTGGCCATATAGTTACTTTACTTGGACATCACACAATCAGTACATCCCGGAGTAATCGGAGAGTCGGTGGCCATAGTTACTTTACTTTGACATCACACAATCCCTACATCCCGGAGTTATCTGAGAGTCGGTGGCCATAGTTACTTTACTTGGACATCACACACTCCCTACAACCTTGATTGATCTGAGAGTCGTCGCCATAGTTACTTTACGGGGACATCACAGAATCCCTACATCCCGGAGTAGTGCTGAATCTGAGAGTCGGTCGCCATAGTTATTTTCTGTATCATAAAGCAGGCACTTTCAGAAAGAGGTGACCACATTGACGATGTCTTCCATGAGTTAACCGGTATGTATACTCTCATGTCGGTTCTAACGCAATGTTCGATATCTGTATGGTGGGAAGTCGGTTCTAACGCAATGTTCGATATCTGTATGGTGGCCAGTCGGTTATAACGCAATTAACGCAATGCTCGATATCTGCATGGTGGCCAGTCGGTTCTAACTCAATATTCGATATCTATATGATGGCCAGTCGGTTCTAACGCAATGTTCGATATCTGTATGGTGGCAAGTCGGTTCTAACGCAATGTTCGATATCTGTATGGTGGCCAGTCGGTTCTAACTCAATGTTCGATATCTATATGATGGCCAGTCGGTTCTACCGCAATGTTCGATATCTGTATGGTGGCCAGTCGGTTCTAACTCAATGTTCGATATCTGTATGGTGGCCAGTCGGTTCTAACGCAATGTTCGATATCTGTATGGTGGCCAGTCGGTTCTAACTCAATGTTCGATATCTATATGGTGGCCAGTCGGTTCTAACGCAATGTTCGATATCTGTATGGTGGCCAGTCGGTTATAACGCAATGTTCGATATCCGTATGGTGGCCAGTCAGTTCTAACTCAATGTTCGATATCTTAATTGGGCAGTCGGTTCTAACGCAATGTTCGATATCTGTATGGTGGCCGGTCGGCTCTAACTCAATGTTCGATATCTGTATGGTGGCAAGTCGGTTCTAACTTAATGTTCGATATCTGTATGGTGGGAAGTCGGTTCTAACTTAATGTTCGATATCTGTATGGTGGGAAGTCGGTTCTAACTTAATGTTCGATATCTGTATGGTGGCCAGTCGGTTATAACGCAATGTTCGATATCCGTATGGTGGCCAGTCGGTTCTAACTCAATGTTAGATATCTGTATGGTGGCCAGTCGGTTCTAACTTAATGTTCGATATCTGTATGGTGGGAAGTCGGTTCTAACGCAATGTTCGTTATCTGTATGGTGGCTAGTCGGTTCTAACTCAATGTTCGATATCTGTATGGTGGCCAGTCGGTTCTAACTCAATGTTCGATATCTGTATGGTGGCCAGTCGGTTCTAACTCAGTGTTCGATATCTGTATGATGGCCAGTCGGTTCTAACTCGTTGTTCGATTTCTTTATGGTGGCCAGTCGGTCCTAACTCAATGTTCGATATATGTATGGTGGCAAGTCGGTTCTAACTCAATATTCGATATCTGTATGGTGGTCAGTCGGTTCTAACTCACTGTTCGATATCTGTATGTTCGATATCTATATGATGGCCAGTCGGTTCTACCGCAATGTTCGATATCTGTATGTTCGATATCTATATGATGGCCAGTCGGTTCTAACACATTGTTCGATATCTGTATGCTGGCCAGTCGGTTCTAAAGCAATGTTCGAGATCTGTATGGTGGCCAGGCGGTTCTAACTCAATGTTGGATATCTGTATGGTGGCAAGTCAGTTCTAACTCAATGTTCTATATCTTTATGGTTGCCAGTCGGTTCTAACTCAATGTGCGATATCTGTATGGTGGTCAGTCGGTTCTAACTCAATGTATATCTGTATGGTGGCCAGTCGGTTCTAACTCAATGCTCGATATCTTAATATGTCGGCCAGTCGGTTCTAACTCAATGTTCGATATCTGTATGGTGGCCAGTCAGTTCTAAATCAATGTTCGATATCTGTATGGTGGGCAGTCGGTTCTAACTCAATGTTCGTTATCTGTATGATGGCCGGTCGGTTCTAACTCAATGTTCGATATCTGTATGCTGGTCAGTCGGTGGCCAGTCGGTTCTAACTCAATGCTCGATATCTTAATATGTCGGCCAGGCGGTTCTAACTCAATGTTCGATATCTGTATGATGGTCAGTCGGTGGCCAGTCGGTTCTAACTCAATGCTCGATATATGTATGGTGGCCGGTCGGTTCTAACTCAATGTTCGATATCTGTATGATGGCCAGTCGGTTCTAACTCATTGTTCGATATCTGTATGGTGGCCAGTCGGTTCTAACGCAATGCTCGATATCTGTATGGTGGCCAGTCGGTTCTAACGCAATGCTCGATATCTGTATGGTGGCCAGTCGGTTCTAACTAAATGCTCGATATATGTATGGTGGCCGGTCGGTTCTAACTCAATGTTCGTTATCTGTATGATGGGCCAGTCGGTTCTAACTCAATGTTCGATATCTGTATGATAGCCAGTCGGTTCTAACGCAATGTTCGATATCTGTATGGTGGGCAGTCGGTTCTAACTCAATGTTCGATATCTGTATGATGGCCAGTCGGTTCTAACTCGTTGTTCGATATCTGTATGGTGGCCAGTCGGTTCTTACTCACTGTTCGATATCTGTATGGTGGCCAGTCGGTTCTTACTCACTGTTCGATATCTGTATGGTGGCCAGTCGGTTATAACGCAATGTTCGATATCTGTATGGTGGATCTGTATGGTGGTCAGTCGGTTCTAACTCAATGTTCGATATCTGTATGGGGGGCAAGTCGGTTCTAACTCAATGCTCGATATCTTAATATGTCGGCCAGGCGGTTCTAACTCAATGTTCGATATCTGTATGATAGCCAGTCGGTTCTAACGCAATGTTCGATATCTGTATGGTGGCCAGGCAGTTCTAACTCAATGTTCGATATCTGTATGGTGGCCAGTCAGTTCTAACTAAATGTTCGATATCTGTATGGTGGCCAGTCGGTTCTTACTCACTGTTCGATATCTGTATGGTGGCCAGTCGGTTCTAACCCAATGCTCGATATATGTATGGTGGCCGGTCGGTTCTAACTCAATGTTCGTTATCTGTATGGTGGCCGGTCGGTTCTAACTCAATGTTCGATATCTGTATGCTGGTCAGTCGGTGGCCAGTCGGTTCTAACTCAATGCTCGATATCTGTATGGTGGTCAGTCGGTTCTAACTTAATGTTCGATATCTGTATGGTGGGAAGTCGGTTCTAACTTAATGTTCGATATCTGTATGGTGGCCAGTCGGCTCTTACTCAATGTTCGATATCTGTATGGTGGGAAGTCGGTTCTAACTTAATGTTCGATATCTGTATGGTGGACAGTCGGTTCTAACTCAATGTTCGATATCTGTATGATGGCCGGTCGGTTCTAACTCAATGTTCGATATCTGTATGATAGCCAGTCGGTTCTAACGCAATGTTCGATATCTGTATGGTGGCCAGTCAGTTCTAACTCAATGTTCGATAGCTGTATGGTGGCCAGTCGGTTCTAACGCAATGTTCGATATCTGTATGGTGGCCAGTCGGTTCTAACTCAATGTTTGATATCTGTATGGTGGACAGTCGGTTATAACGCAATGTTCGATATCTGTATGGTGGCCAGTCAGTTCTAACTCAATGTTCGATATCTGTATGGTGGCCAGTCGGTTCTAACTCAATGCTCGATATATGTATGGTGGCCGGTCGGTTCTAACTCAATGTTCGTTATCTGTATGGTGGCCAGTTGGTTCTAACTCAATGTTCGATATATGTATGGTGGCCAGTTGGTTCTAACTCATTGTTCGATATCTGTATGGTGGCCAGTTGGTTCTAACTCAATGTTCGATATATGTATGGTGGCCAGTTGGTTCTAACTCAATGTTCGATATATGTGTGGTGGCCAGTCGGTTCTTACTCATTGTTCGATATCTGTATAGTGGCCAGTCGGTTCTAACTCAATGTTCGATATCTGTATGGTGGCCAGTCAGATCTAACTCAATGTTCGATATCTGTATGGTGGCCAGTCGGTTCTAACTCAATGTTCGATATCTGTATGGTGGGCAGTCGGTTCTAACTCAATGTTCGATATCTGTATGATGGTCAGTCGGTTCTAACTCAATGTTCGATAATATACCTGTAGGGCTAACAATCACCGCGGGACTGGTAGTCTACCTGTAGGGCTAACAATCACCGCGGGACTGTAGTCTACCTGTATGGCTTACAACCACCGCGGGACTGGTAGTCTACCTGTAGGGCTAACAATCGCCGCGGGACTGGTAGTCTACCTGTAGGGCTAGCAATCACCGCGGGACTGGTAGTCTCCCTGTAGGCCTAACAATCACCGCGGGACTGGTAGTCTCCCTGTAGGGCTAACAATCACCGCGGGACTAGTAGTCTACCTGTAGGGCTAACAATCACCGCGGGACTAGTAGTCTACCTGTAGGGCTAACAATCACCGCGGGACTGGGAGTCTACCTGTAGGGCTAACAACCACCGCGGGACTAGTAGTCTCCCTGTAGGCCTAACAACCACAACGGGACTGGTAGTCTACCTGTATAACTAACAATCACCGTGGGACTGGTAGTCTACCTGTAGGGCTAACAATCACCGCGGGACTGGTAGTCTACCTGTAGGGCTAACAATCACCGCGGGACTGGTAGTCTACCTGTAGGGCTAACAATCACCGCGGGACTGGTAGTCTACCTGTAGGGCTAACAATCACCGCGGGACTGGTAGTCTACCTGTAGGGCTAACAATCACCGCGGGACTGGTAGTCTACCTGTAGGGCTAACAATCACCGCGGGACTGGTAGTCTACCTGTAGGGCTAACAATCACCGCGGGACTGGTAGTCTACCTGTAGGGCTAACAATCACCGCGGGACTGGTAGTCTACCTGTAGGGCTAACAATCACCGCGGGACTGGTAGTCTACCTGTAGGGCTAACAATCACCGCGGGACTGGTAGTCTACCTGTAGGGCTAACAATCACCGCGGGACTGGTAGTCTACCTGTAGGGCTAACAATCACCGCGGGACTGGTAGTCTACCTGTAGGGCTAACAATCACCGCGGGACTGGTAGTCTACCTGTAGGGCTAACAATCACCGCGGGACTGGTAGTCTACCTGTAGGGCTAACAATCACCGCGGGACTGGTAGTCTACCTGTAGGGCTAACAATCACCGCGGGACTGGTAGTCTACCTGTAGGGCTAACAATCACCGCGGGACTGGTAGTCTACCTGTAGGGCTAACAATCACCGCGGGACTGGTAGTCTACCTGTAGGGCTAACAATCACCGCGGGACTGGTAGTCTACCTGTAGGGCTAACAATCACCGCGGGACTGGTAGTCTACCTGTAGGGCTAACAATCACCGCGGGACTGGTAGTCTACCTGTAGGGCTAACAATCACCGCGGGACTGGTAGTCTACCTGTAGGGCTAACAATCACCGCGGGACTGGTAGTCTACCTGTAGGGCTAACAATCACCGCGGGACTGGTAGTCTACCTGTAGGGCTAACAATCACCGCGGGACTGGTAGTCTACCTGTAGGGCTAACAATCACCGCGGGACTGGTAGTCTACCTGTAGGGCTAACAATCACCGCGGGACTGGTAGTCTACCTGTAGGGCTAACAATCACCGCGGGACTGGTAGTCTACCTGTAGGGCTAACAATCACCGCGGGACTGGTAGTCTACCTGTAGGGCTAACAATCACCGCGGGACTGGTAGTCTACCTGTAGGGCTAACAATCACCGCGGGACTGGTAGTCTACCTGTAGGGCTAACAATCACCGCGGGACTGGTAGTCTACCTGTAGGGCTAACAATCACCGCGGGACTGGTAGTCTACCTGTAGGGCTAACAATCACCGCGGGACTGGTAGTCTACCTGTAGGGCTAACAATCACCGCGGGACTGGTAGTCTACCTGTAGGGCTAACAATCACCGCGGGACTGGTAGTCTACCTGTAGGGCTAACAATCACCGCGGGACTGGTAGTCTACCTGTAGGGCTAACAATCACCGCGGGACTGGTAGTCTACCTGTAGGGCTAACAATCACCGCGGGACTGGTAGTCTACCTGTAGGGCTAACAATCACCGCGGGACTGGTAGTCTACCTGTAGGGCTAACAATCACCGCGGGACTGGTAGTCTACCTGTAGGGCTAACAATCACCGCGGGACTGGTAGTCTACCTGTAGGGCTAACAATCACCGCGGGACTGGTAGTCTACCTGTAGGGCTAACAATCACCGCGGGACTGGTAGTCTACCTGTAGGGCTAACAATCACCGCGGGACTGGTAGTCTACCTGTAGGGCTAACAATCACCGCGGGACTGGTAGTCTACCTGTAGGGCTAACAATCACCGCGGGACTGGTAGTCTACCTGTTGGGCTAACAATCACCGCGGGACTGGTAGTCTACCTGTAGGGCTAACAATCACCGCGGGACTGAAAGTCTACCTGTAGGGCTAACAACCACCGCGGTACTAGTAGTCTACCTGTATGGCTAACAACCACCGCGGGACTGGTAGTCTATCTGCAGGTTAAACAATCACTGCGGGGCTGGTAGTCTACCTGTAGGGCTAACAACCACCGCGGGCCTGGTAGTCTGCCTGTAGGGCTAACAATCACCGCGGGACTGGTATTCTACCTGGAGGGCTAACATTCACCGCGGGACTGGTAGTCTACCTGTAGGGCTAGCAACCACCGCGGGACTGGTAGTCTACCTGTAGGGCTAACAATCACCGCGGGACTGGTAGTCTACCTGTAGGGCTAACAATCACCGCGGGACTGGTATATTACCTGTAGGGCTAACAACCACCGCGGGACTGATAGTCTCCCTGTAGGGCTAACAATCACCGCGGGACTGATAGTCTACCTGTAGGGCTAACAATCACCGCCGGACTGGTAGTCTACCTGTAGGGCTAACAACCACTGCGGGACTGGTAGTCTACCTGTAGGGCTAGCAACCACCGCGGGACTGGTAGTCTCCCTGTAGGGCTTACAACCACTGCGGGACTGGTAGTCTACCCGTAGGGCTAACAATCACCGCGGGACTGGTATTCTACCTGGAGGGCTAACATTCACCGCGGGACTGGTAGTCTACCTGTAGGGCTAACAACCACCGCGGGACTGATAGTCTCCCTGCAGGACAAAAAATCATAGCACTTTAACTGTCATTAATTTATTGTGCATTGTAGATTGATACAAGCGAATCTTCATAAAGTTGTCTTTTGTTTTGGTGTTACCTGAGTTATTGTTATTGACCTTTGTGTTTTGTGTCCTCCTAGTTGTTGTTGTCTATTGATGCCTTTTCTTTGCGTCACTTCATGTTTTTGTTTGTGTTGTTGCTGTTGTTGTCTCCTAACTTATTCATTTGTTTCTGTTTTTGTGTCTTCCCCGCTGTTTTGGTTAATGCCATTTTCTTTGCGTCTCTTCAGTTGTCTTTTGATCGGTGTCGCCTTAATTGCTGAATGGATAAAATGATCAGATGGTGCAGTACATGTTTACTTTCTGTATCAACAACTTAAGGTTTTATCATGTATCGATTATTTCGTACTTCTTATGATTATTTTACTAAACGAGGTGATTGATTTTGTTGACCTTTTACAGTGTTTTGGTTGTAATGTTACTAAGTAGATAATGTTGTGGTAGTAGTAATACTATGTAGATAATGTTGTGGTAGTAATGTTACTATGAAGATAATGTTGTGGTAGAAATTATACTATGTAGATAATGTTGTGGTAGTAATGTTACTATGTACCTAATGTTGTGGTAGTAATGTTACTATGTAGACAATGTTGTGGTACATATATGTAGTAATGTTACTATGTAGACAATGTTGTGGTAGTAATGTTACTTTGTAGGCGGTGTTGTGGTAGTGAGGTTACTATGTCGGCAATGTTGTGGTAGTGATGTTACTATGTAGACAATTTTGTGGTAGTAATGTTACTATTTAGACAATGTTGTGGTAGTAATGGTACTATGTACCTAATGTTGTTGTAGTAATGTTACTATGTAGCCAATGTTGTGGTAGTAATGGTACTATGTACCTAATGTTGTGGTAGGAATGTTACTATGTAGACAATTTTGTGGTAGTAATGTTACTATGCACCTAATGTTGTGGTAGTAATGTTACTATGTACCTAATGTAGTGGTAGTAATGTTACTATGTAGACAATGTTGTGTTAGTAATGCTATTATGTACCTAATGTTGTGGTAGTAATGTTACTATGTAGACAATGATGTGGTAGTAATGTTACTATGTACCTAATGTTGTGGTAGTAATGGTACTATGTAGACAATTTTGTGGTAGTAATGTTCCTATGTAGACAATGTTGTGGTAGTAATTTTACAATGTAGACACTGTTTTGGTAGTAATGTTACTATATACCTAATGTTGTGGGAGTAATGTTACTATGCACCTAATGTTGTGGTATTAATGTTACTATGTAAACATTGTTTTGGTAGTAATGTTACTTTGTAGACAATGTTTTGGTAGTAATGTTACTTTGTAGACAATGTTGTGGTAGTAATGTTACTATGTAGACAATGTTTTGGTAGTAATGTTACTATGTACCTAATGTTAGACCTTTGTTTTATCGTATTGCTGTGGCTGTACACAGCACATACCAACTTAAAGTATCGAGTCCAAAATCCACTCGTCGACACAATAAATGTTCATCACATCAGTAATGCGCGTGCATGCCTCCCTGTTCTACGTCACGTGCAGGTACATTGTATTCCGGTTCACGTCTGCTATTGTTATGTTTATTTAGGATGGACTACCTCACACTTAGAGCTCTGTGTCGTTCTCGTGTTGTCCTGGATGTTCATTGTAGGTAGGTATAATGTTTATTTATTTAGAAACTCCATGCTTGATATGCAATTATCATTTCGTTATTCTCAAATTTTAATTAAATTGGCTATTTTCGTTTGGTACGTTTCTTACTCTCCGCGTAATTATTTGGCATAAACAAGGTAAGAATACTCTCTCAGCATTATAATCTGATTAAAGAGAGATAACTCGTTCGTGAGTAAGACCACACACGACATTTGGCTGTATCATTTCCATTATGATATAATAAATAAAAAAATTAACTCAGCAAATTGGATGGTATTTCCGTCACTTGACCAGGTAGACGATAAGCAGCTTAAGATAAGATTTTCGTTCTTTGCACATGTTACACAATACACGTCTGTGATGAAGTTGGCGGTGGCGAGGGGATTATGTGTTCATTACTGGTAAGTACCTGTACTTGTTGGCTTGCCAAGGGACGCTGGGGATACACATTCAGTTTTAATACATTGAAGGAGGTCTGTCCTATTTCCTATGCATAGTTGGCATCTAATTGAATCGAGGCAAGGCAATCATTTATTAATATGTTATCAATTATGAAATGAATTGTCTTCCATATTCCATTGATCAAATGAGGTGAATTATTTAAAGTCATTAATTAGCTTTTCCAGATGGGCTGAAGGTCACATGACGTCGGGTGTCAGGAAACACACAACAAATGTGGGTCACATAACGAAGAATGTCAAAACAGGCACAAAAAATAAAGGTCACATGACGACAAACGTTAGAACAGACACGTCAAATATCGGTCACATGGCGACGGATGTCAAAACATTGAAAAACTAAGTAGGTCACATGACATGGCCGGGATGTTGGATGACGTGATGATATGTTATCATTGTATACTCTGCTCTACTTAAACTTCACGAGCAGGTGTTGACAGAAACGCTTCACAGTTACCTAGACACGTTTAGCGTCATAATTCAGCATTTTTTTCACATACTTTTAGCGTCCTCTACACTTTCAACATCCTCTACATACTTTTAGCGTCCTCCACACTTTCAGCATCCTCTACACACTTTTAGCGTCCTCCACACTTTCAACATCCTCTACATACTTTAAGCGTCCTCCACACTTTCAACATCCTCTACATACTTTTAGCGTCCCCCACCCTTTCAGCATCCTCTCCATACTTTAAGCGTCCTACACACTTTCAACATCCTCAACATACTTTAAGCGTCCTACACACTTTCAACATCCTCAACATACTTTAAGCGTCCTACACACTTTCAACATCCTCTTCATACTTTTAGCGTCCTGCACACTTTAAGCATCCTCTACATACTTTCAGCGTCCTCCACACTTTCAACATCCTCTTCATACTTTTAGCGTCCTCTACACTTTCAACATCCTCAACATACTTTAAGCGTCCTCCACACTTTAAGCATCCTCTACATACTTTTAGCGTCCTCCACACTTTCAGTATCCTCTACATACTTTAAGCGTCCTCCACACTTTAAGCATCCTCTATATACTTTTTGCACTCTCCGATCACTATAACCTTTCCAACGCAAATACACTTTATGTGCGCCTTCTCACTTTCAGAACCCCAATCCCTTTTCGCCTCACACTTTACATGACCGTTGAAGCACCCCTACACTTTTGGCAGCGCTTTACACTTTTAGTACTCCCCTCCATCACACACAATTCACATAGCCCCTTTTCCACTTTTGATATCCCCGACACCTACCATCGCCCGAATCATTATGAGCTTATCCTAACTTCTAACGTACAACACTATTCTATCGTAACTCCATTAAAGCGTCGCTTTCATATTGTTTAAGAAGAGTCCGCACAATTTTATTTCCCACTACTTACACCAACCAAGAACTACTTTTAGTACGCCATTAATCTTGAACACTGTTAATGCCACCCTCAAACACTGTTATTGCAACCCTCAATTACTGTTATTGCCCCCCTCAAACTCTGTTATTGCCACCCTCAAACACTGTTAGTGCCACTCTAAAATTCTATTATTGCCACCCTCGATTATTGTTATTATCACTCTCAATTACTGTTATTACCACCCTCAAACACTGTTATTGCCACCCTCAAACTCTATTATTGCCACCCTCAATTACTGTTATTGTCACGCTCAATTACTGTTATTGCATCCCTCAATTACTGTTATTATCACACTCAATTACTGTTGTTGCCACCCTCAATTACTGTTATTGCTCCCTCAATTACTGTTATATCCACCCTCAATTACTGTTAATGCCACCCTCAAACACTGTTATTGCCATCCTCAAACTATGTAAATAGCTACCCTCAATTACTGTTATTGCTTTCCTCAATTATTGTTATTGCCACCCTCAAACTCTGTTATTGCCACCCTCAATTACTGTTATTACCACCCTCAAACACTTTTATTGCCACCCTCAATTACTGTTATTGCCACCCTCAATTACTGTTATTGCTCCCTCAATTACTGTTATATCCACCCTCAATTACAGTTAATACCACCCTTAAACACTGTTATTGCCATCCTCAAACTATGTTAATAGCTACCCTCAATTACTGTTATTGCTTTCCTCAATTATTGTTATTGCCACCCTCAAACTCTGTTATTGCCACCCTCAATTACTGTTATTGCCTCCCTCAATTACTGTTATTACCACCCTCAAACACTGATATTGCCATCCTCAATTACTGTTATTGCCACCATTAAACACTGTTATTGCCACCCTCAAACTTAACCTCAGATAGGATAAAGTTTGCAGATGATCGCTGTAATATGTAAATGACAAATAGTCTTTAGGTCATTATCAGTTACTCATTATAAAGTGGGATTTCACAATACAACACATCAAAAACTAAAAACAAAAACAAAAATGCAAAAAATAGCATGTTTGGTTTTTTAAAGATGTCCTTCGAGAATCGGTCTTTATAAAAGAAATATAACGGTGTTAAGAGGATTGTGTAGCTTTTAAAAATGTAAGTAAAAGATGTTCCAATCTAATTACCCAATAACCTGGTATTAAAAATAGAAAAGGGGGCACCTGTCGGTATAAGATCTCGGTCAGACACTACACTGTAATTACTGTACAGCTCCAGCAATCGGCTACATTTGTAAACACGTAACAGTAAAAAGTGTGGTCGCCTTTCATGTGGTAGCTTACTCGTGTAGATTTTCATTGAATTAAACCTGTTTTGGCTGTTTTTGTTTTTACTCGTATTTCACAGAGGAGCCGTTGGCGAGTCGTTACTAGGGGAGCGATGTGGGTGTAAACAACTGTGTCTGTCACTTTCACTACAACTAAATACGAATCACAGACGTACATATGTCGTGTGTAGTCAGGAGTATAATGTGGGGTCCAATGGGCTGAATTACAGCACTAACCTGGACAAGGGATAGTCAGGCGTATAATGTGGGGTCCAATGGGCTAAATTACAGCACTAGCCTGGACAAGTGATAGTCAGGCGTATACTGTGGGGTCCAATGGGCTGAATTACAGCACTAACCGGGACAAGTGATAGTCAGGCGTATAATGCGGGGTCCAATTAGCTGAATTACAGCACTAACCTGGACAACTGATTGTCAGGCGTATAATGTGGGTCCAATGGGCTGAATTACAGCACTAACCTGGACAAGGGATAGTCAGGCGTATAATGTGGGGTCCAATGGGCTAAATTACAGCACTAGCCTGGACAAGTGATAGTCAGGCGTATACTGTGGGGTCCAATGGGCTGAATTACAGCACTAACCGGGACAAGTGATAGTCAGGCGTATAATGCGGGGTCCAATTAGCTGAATTACAGCACTAACCTGGACAAGGGATTGTCAGGCGTATAATGTGGGTCCAATGGGCTGAATTACAGCACTAACCTGGACCAGTGATAGTTAGGCGAATAATGTGGGGTCCAATGGGCTGAATTACAGCAACAACCTCGACAAGTGATAGTTAGGCGAATAATGTGGGGTCCAATGGGCTGAATTACAGCAACAACCTCGACAAGTGATAGTTAGGCGAATAATGTGGGGTCCAATGGGCTGAATTACAGCACTAACCTGGACCAGTGATAGTTAGGCGAATAATGTGGGGTCCAATGGGCTGAATTACAGCATTAACCTGGACAAGTGATAGTCAGGCGTATAATGAGGGGTCCAATGGGCTGAATTACAGCACTAACCTGGACAAGTGATTGTCAGGCGGATAATGTGGGGTCCAATGGGCTGAATTACAGCAACAACCTCGACAAGTGATAGTTAGGCGAATAATGTGGGGTCCAATGGGCTGAATTACAGCATTAACCTGGACAAGTTATAGTCAGGCGTATAATGTGGGGTCCAATGGGCTAAATTACAGCACTAGCCTGGACAAGTGATAGTCAGGCGTATACTGTGGGGTCCAATGGGCTGAATTACAGCACTAACCGGGACAAGTGATAGTCAGGCGTATAATGCGGGGTCCAATTAGCTGAATTACAGCACTAACCTGGACAACTGATTGTCAGGCGTATAATGTGGGTCCAATGGGCTGAATTACAGCACTAACCTGGACCAGTGATAGTTAGGCGAATAATGTGGGGTCCAATGGGCTGAATTACAGCACTAACCTGGACCAGTGATAGTTAGGCGAATAATGTGGGGTCCAATGGGCTGAATTACAGCACTAACCGGGACAAGTGATAGTCAGGCGTATAATGCGGGGTCCAATTAGCTGAATTACAGCACTAACCTGGACAAGTGATTGTCAGGCGGATAATGTGGGGTCCAATGGGCTGAATTACAGCATTAACCTGGACAAGTGATAGTCAGGCGTATAATGAGGGGTCCAATGGGCTGAATTACAGCACTAACCTGGACAAGGGATAGTCAGGCGTATAATGTGGGGTCCAATGGGCTAAATTACAGCACTAGCCTGGACAAGTGATAGTCAGGCGTATACTGTGGGGTCCAATGGGCTGAATTCCAGCACTAACCTGGACAAGTGATAGTCAGGCGTCTAATGTGGGGTCCAATGGGCTGAATTACAGCAC